TTTTTGTCTTTTCTTTTTTGGTACTGGGGATCGAACCCAGGACGTTGCACTTGCTAGGCAAGCGCTTTGCCACTGAGCTACATCCCAGCCCCTGAGGAAGTTATTGTAATCCAGACAAGAGAATATGAAACTGAACCAACATAAAAGCAAATATAGAAGATTAAAGCATTACAAAAGGGAAGCTGATGTGCCCTGATAGCTGCCTGACTGCAAGAGCCGATATTCAGCCATTCATAGGAAAGAAATTAGGATGTATCACTAAAAGAAAATAGGCAATATATGCTTAAGATGAAGCTTATGCCACACGGGAAATGTACTATTCTACTTTAGAAGAGCAAACTTTCCCTTAGTAACATAAACAAACATAACAATGACATACAAACTACAGTCTACAAAAAATAATCAAAGCTTCCAGGCACTAATGGCTCACAACTATAAGCCTAGCTTCTCAGGAAGCTGAGATTTGAGGATAGACTTTTGAAGCCAGCTTGGGCAGGAAAGTCCACAAGACCTTTAGCTCCAATGAACTGGCAAAAAGCTGTCAGGGGCAGCACCCAGGCCCTGAGTTCAATCCCCAGAACTGCCACATACAAACAAAGATACTCAAATCATTCTAGTTTCAAAAATGAATGATCTTTACACATATTTGTAAAAATATAGATATCAGAACTAACGTTTTTTACAAAAATACACACATCAAGTTTTATCATGAAAAGCTAGAAATGTCACGTACACTACAACATTTAACAGCCTCAGAAAATAACTGGTCTATTGTGAGTGTGTATCAAAAACTATCAACTAGTTCAATTATGTAAAGTAACTGATGTTCAGTTTTGAAACTCGCACTTATAAAATATATTTGGTCCTTCACCCTAATGTACTCCCTTGAGTATAGTTTCTGTTCTAGATACCTCGTGCCCCAGTGACTAGCATTTAGATCTTGGATAAAAAGGAAAAACAACTCATCTTGGAATGTTGTCCAAGTATATAGCACTTTCACATCTTGGTATTACACAACATACAACTAAAGATCTAGTATTTGAGCACCTACTACTCAACAGGTAATAGAGTTACAAATAGTAATACGTGACAACTCTCTCCAACCTAGGATTTCTTTCTCTAAACAAATCAAACATCACAGGCTTCAACAGAAGATCTTTCACTCTTATTTTTGTGATCATCACTGAGTCTTTTTTCTGGTTTCTCATCTGAAAAATGGATGAAGATCCAATAAAAGACAAGTATGCCATCTGGCTTTCTATAGAATTAACCACACGCTAATCGGACTTTTTTTTTTTTTTTTGCCGGTCCTGGGGCTTGAACTCTGGGCTTGGGCACTGTCCCTCAGTTCTTCAGCTCAAGGCAAGCGCTCTACCACTTGAGCTACAGCGCCACTTCCCGTTTTCTAATGGTTTATTGGAGATGGGAGTCTCACGGTCTTTCCTGTCCGGGCTGGCTTTGAACCCAGACCCTCAGATCTCAGCCTCCTGAGTAGCTAGGATTACAGGTGTGAGCCACTGGCACTCGGCTTTTTTTTTTTTTTAAATGAAGAATATCACAGATACAATAAATACACTCATTTGACTGGCTCAACACTAAGCCACCATCCTATCACCTGGAAACGTCCTCAACACAAATGTTATTCCATACAGTAGGTGAACTTAAGAGGACAATAAATCGACACAAATTTTCAAGACAAATGTTTGAAGATTACAAGTACGTGTTTTAGTTTCTCAGCATTTTGTGTGGAAAATTAGTACTGCAATTCATGATACAGACTACTACTAAAAAGACCATCTTTAATATTTTGGAGTAAAATAATGCAACTACCTTGTTGGAAGTAATGACTCTTACTAACGAAGGCCATCTCAACAAATGCAAAACCTTGAAGTTTTAAAACTTTAGATAAACTTCTGAAATAAATAAGCTGGTTGGATTACTTAAGTAGCTCATAACCAAATAGTTGTAACTGCACAAAATATGAAGTTTCTCAAAAGATAGGCATTTTTATCTTAACCACCTACACAAGACCCTGCAAGAAAATTAAATGAATTTGAGCCAGTAATTCTTCAGAATATGCCAATCAATTATCACGTACCCAAAGCAGACCCACTCAAAAGGACCTAAGAATCTTCTCATAAAAATAAAAGATGTTAGTAGCTGGGCACTAGTGGCTCATACCTGTAATCCTAGCTAATTATGAGGGTGAAATCTGAGGGTCACGGTTCGAAGTCAACCAGGGCAGAAAAGTCCATGAGACTATTATTTCCAATAAACTGCTCAGAAAAAGCAGGAAGTGGCGCTGTAGCTCAAGCTGTAAAGAGCTAGCCTTGAACACAAAGAGGCTGAGGTTCTGTGCCCAGACCCTGAGTTCAAGACCCAGGACCAGTGCCAAATAACAAAAAAACCACAACAGTTGTCAAGGACATTTGTGAGCTGAGTTTTAATGACACCTATTTCCACTTAATAATCTGAAAACATGAAAGTGAAAACCCATCACTTATTTGTACGTGGAATTTATGTAACAAGGAAAACCTTTGCATCCGAACCTCTGAGCATCCTTGTAACATTTGTAAATATTATCATTTATTGCTTTCATTTGAATTTATGGAAATAAGGTCTAAATAATAAAAGGGATTTAAGATATTTTTCAGAAAGGTGACTTTTTAAACTACCCTTTCTTAGGCAACAAACACAAAACACTCTTAAAAGGTTATGTTCAGATTTAAGGAAATCCTTTGGCAATCAAGATTTGTTTAAAGATTCTATATTTATGTTTGTCATTACTAAACATGCTCTTACCTTCTGCTACATCATCATCTACTGCTCCTTTCACCTGAGAGAAACACCACTGGATATCATTCCCTCCTCCAGCTCCTGGAAAAAGAAAACACACCAATTAAAACAGAGCCTGTTCGTGTTTACTCTCAGCAACAGAGATGGTATCCATAGCTGGCATGATCCTCATACTGCCTAGTGCTGCCCACGCAGACAACCACCACTAACAGCACCAATTTGGAAAAAGGTTAGTCCCAGGAGAGATGGTAGTGCTTTAAGAACAAGATTCCAGGTATGAAATATGCAAAGGCCTACATTCTATGATCCTCTTTATACATGTATTCCAAACTCTCTCCCACTTTCCCTACCCTTTGAAAGTAAGAGCCTTACTTACCCAAGGCACACCTCCCAGAAAAAAAGTAAATACTAAAAGTTAGTGTTCCTTGAACTATACCAGAAGATTCCAGAAGAGTCAAAATCAAGTACAACTACCATGAAACACAGAGGTAGAGAAACTTAGTGAACATTACTGCCTAGGTGAGGAGTAGCAGCTCATGTAACCGCTATGGCCAATGTGTGCACCCAGTCAACACAACACCCACTTCTCTGCATGCAATACCAGCAAATAAATCACTGGTTCCAGAGAGAAAAGAAAACTGAAATAATGCTGCTCAAGAGACTGTCAAAGGAAGCCTGTTCTCTCTTTGCCTTGTCCAGGGAAATCCAAGCAACCTGGCACAGAATCCATTTTGCTAATTTGTCATCATTTTGGACAAAACAATTTTAATCTCATTTCATTATTCATCAAGGTCAAAGAGCAATGTGTTTACAGCAAACTAAGTCCAAGATGTTAACTTTTTGAAAGGTTACACTACCTAGCTAAATTCATTGAAAAAAGGGGGGGAAAAACATGGAAAACTGGTTTCATCTTGGAATGTCTATTTCACCTCTGAGAACTGGGAAGGATATGGTGGAAAAAGTCCTGGACTTCAGGGGGAAGAAAACAAATCTAAGTCTAGAATTAATTTAACTAGCTGAAGGAAGGTATCTGCAACACCAAAATATGGAGATAAGCTTCAAAGCTCTCTCCTCACCCCTAAACTATTTCCAACCTGGTTTTCTCCACAGACATTTTTTTTTGCAAGCTTTTACGAAATCTCTCTCCCTTTGGCTATTTATATCAGAACTCCACAACTATTTTAACCAACTCTATGTACAGAGAGCCTTTTGGGAAAAGGAGATCTGCACAAAAGCTGGCGTGCAACATGCAAAGTTTAAATGGAATCGGGTTTTTTCGTGCAACTTGCTGTGCATTAAAAAAAAAAAAAGGAAAAAAAAAAGGGCCTGGCACTCCCTAGGTCGCAGAGCGTTGGAAACAAAAAAAAGAAAGAAAAATCGGGTTTGCATCCTCGGGAGCAGACGTACCCGGCCGTGGGGGCGGGACGGGGGTCACACCCCTGCCCCCATTGTATTCTAACTTGTAAAGCGCTCTTCCTTCCTCCTCCAGGCAAAAATCCATCCTCACCGTCTATTTCCAGGCACACACCCGGGAGGAGAAGGAAAAGCCGGGTCTGGTCCGCCGCAGAGCCGTGGGGCGGGCGGCGTGGCCGGG